CAAAATGTTGTTTTGCAGCTAATGGCTTGTTCAGCTCAACCAAAACATACTGTTGGGAGGAATTTCAGAAGCCCAATCTAAAGTCACACCCCAAGCTGCCATGTTTGTCTTTTAATAAATGATTCAGCTGCCTTGAAGGCTGCATTTTATTATTTCCAAGCCCCAAGTGTGTTTCTTTTTAGAAGTATGTTCAGGATATTGCCAGGAACAGAGCTTTGAAAATTAGATCTGTACCAAAGTGCTTTTTGAATGACAAACTAGTAAATAGAAGTTTGTAAGTAACTTGCAGGGAGATATCAAGAGCAAGTGTAAGTGCTTGTATCTTATTTATAAGCTAGTAATATTAATGCTTGCAGGGCAAAGGAAAAGCCAAGTTCTTTTAAAAGCTTTTTTTATTTCCATACAAATCTAATAAAGCCAGCACTTTCAGTCAAAATTTATTATTAACAGAAGAGAATTATTCCTTGGAAACACTAAGACTACACAGTTTGGATTCAATTCTATCCATCTTTTCAAGTACTGACTGGAATTAATAAATGGTGGTACTAAGCCTTTTAGCCAATAATTCCAAAATCCACAGTGTGAAAAATCTGCTAAAATTTACACAGCAAGTGAAATAGCCTTTTGTAAATAATAAGAAGCTCTAGATTGATTGAGGCCAGCCAGCCAGAAACAAGATATGAGCATTTCTGCAGTACCATGATGACCAATGCTCCATGATTCTCCACAGTCCAGAGCAAATTAAGGTTTTGTTTCATTTAATAGCTTTATAGCCGTGCATAATCAACAGCAGTTTTGACAAATACATTTCATTAAAAAAAATTGGGAGGAGCAGCTTTCTGGCGTTCCAGGAATTTATAGTTAAAATTTGCTGCTGGTTGTTCCATAGGGGTTAGTGGTGTCTCCATTAGTGTCAAAATCATTGGCAAAAAAAACTGTTTCTAGATGACAAGGTGGAAAAAAGGAGAATAATTTTTGCTGAAGCCGTACCAGGACTTAGAAACACACTAGAAAGTGCACCCACTCTTCTTTCCTCTCCTGCATTCCTATGCAAAGCTCATTTATTAGATGAGCTTGCATCGGAATGTAGAAGAGTAAACAAAAATGGGTGCTCTGCCTAGTGTGTTTTCTATCACTATCATAAAGTTTGAATGATATTTAATCATTTCCCTATTACTTGGTAAAAAAAATCACTAGCTCTATATTTGTATTTATAGCTCTTAACTGCATAAGATACTGTGAAATGGGTGTCTCAAGCATTCTGTGAAGTATGTTGGATACCGATCAATAGTCAAGAAGGCAGGCATCTAGAAAATAATTTTTCCAGTTGACTATCTGGTGGACAAAAAATTTTGAACCCATGTTTCCCATAAATTAATGCAACAGTGTGTCACTTACTCTTTGCAGTGCCCATACTGTTTCTGCTATCTCCAACAGTCAATTGCTCTACTGTCTTGCAATCTGTTCATCTGTTTCACATCAAGTCTCATTTAATTTAATTACTGGTTAGCATTTCCATAAAGTACTTCAGTGCTCAAACTGCTTTCCAATTCCATCCAGTCCATTTAGATAACGTTCTTCCAAATGTGACTAGGGTGGAAATGAAATGCATTTGAATGTCTGTTTCCTACTTTATTGACTTGCAATGGAATGGAGTATATCTTGCCTTGGAACTTTATACATTTCTAAGATTTCTGATGCACTTTGGAGAGAAAAATGCACAGGAAACAAGGAGAACTACTAGAAAATGTAGATATTTGAATATATACACTTGAAAAATGTGCAGAAACATGTTTTACCCAATGGAAAATGTTCATCAAAAGACATAAAATATTTACAAAAATATATACATTATGAAAAATGTGCACAAAAATATTCACAAGCGTTTGTGCAGGGGAATAGTCTTGCCACTTCGTATGGAGCCAGTACGGAGCAAAAACGTCAGAGAAATTCTGAGAAGTACCATAAAAATTTGACTAACATTCTTGCAATATTGGGAAGTTTGAACTGCTGCTGATGTATGTAAATTTGTTACTCTTCCTTATCAGAATATGCTTATGATAAAAGTGTTGAATCATGATTCTAACCACATGCTTACTAATAATTTTTTTAAAAAATTATGCTGCTGCTTTTGTAGTTAAAAGTGGAACAAGGAGTACACGCCTTTTGTGTTCTGGATCCTCTCACCATACCTTTCCTTATAGCTGCTTGTCATAGCAACCCTTGTGTTAACTCCTTGATCAATAAAAAACTTGTGCTCTGTCAAGATTGTTCTTATATATATAAGCTTGTGGCCAGAGAAGGGGGTACCTCACCCTGAAATATCGGGGTGAGATATCCTCAACTCACTGAGAGGGTTGGCCAAATTCATAGGGTATGGAGGTCATTTTTTCCTACTGCAGGCTGTACCATGTGGGAAACTTCTGCTTAAAGGTTGTAGCTGCATTCTGTTCCAGTGATGTGCAAACACTCCTGGCAGGGTGTGGCAGCTGCCAGCAGGCAGGGTAGCCCCTTATTCTGCCCTTTTGCTTGAGGTAGAGCATTAGATCAAAGGGTTATTTTAGCCAATCCTAGTTGTAATTAGGTGACTAGTACCCTATCTGTTTCTCTCACAACATACTATGTAATCATGCTAAGTCAATAAAAGAGCCCTCAGGGCATTGCCAGTTGGCTCCGCTGGCTCGGACTTTTGCTGTTGATTCCTTTGTTCTCTCTCTAAGGCAATTAGCCTTCGTTTGTTCCGTGATCACCAATAGTACCATATCCTCAAAATCAGTGGTTCCCAACCTTGGGTGTCAGGTTCCTGGGGGTTACAATGGCAGAGTCCGATAAGCCAGTCCTATGTCAGGAATTCAGGGAATGCAGAGCCGATATCCAAATACCGAAGCCAACTCACACAACATAGTCCAGGGTCAGAGTCCAAAGCCAAGGGTCCAGAGAACAAGTTTCAAGGTTGTCAGGAGCGTGGATGCAAGCCAGAGGTTTGACTTGTTGCTTCCACAGACTTTCAGCCGTCTGAGAGCTGCTTATATAGTAAAAACAGCCCTTGAACTGCTCGAAGCCTTTTCATCCTGTCAGAACTCAGGGCTCGTTGATTGAATGTTTCTGTGGGCAGCCTTCAAGTGATCCTCTGACCTTTTTGTCATAAGTCTTCCCCTCAGCCTGTCTACTGGGGGAGGAGAATCTGGAGGCGATTCAGGTGTTAGTATTTCTAATCACTCAGCATTCTCCTCAGCTACAGTTAACCCTTCAGGTTCCGGATCTTCGGCTGCACTCATGACATTGGGTCCCCAGATGCTCTTGAACTGCAACTCCTGGAAATCCTGGCCAGCACAGCTAGTGGTGAAGGCTTCTTGGAGTTTTAGTCCACAAACATATGAGGACACAAGGTTGGGAGCCACTACTCTAAATGATACTGCAAGCGGTCAACATCCACACCTGGTTTCAAAAGACCTTTTCATATATATATTTTGCCATCTTCAGTGCACACCTTTGGCGCAATATATATATAGCCAAAGTGTGCACCGAAGATGGCAAAAGGGAACAATAAGGAATGGATGTATTTTATGGAGCATGTATCACTCACCCTCTTATAACAAGTATCATCATGGTTCCAGGTGTTACCCGAGAGTAACCTCCAGTAATGATGCGAGTAAAAGCTGCCGAGAAGGTTTTATTCAGAAAACTGAGAGATATTTTTGTTCTCTTTTGGTTAGCCTAATAATATTTGATTAGCCTAATATGAATTTCATATTTTTTTCATTATCCAAAGAAGCAAGCACATAAAATGGAAGCAGGTTGTCACATATTCATGAAAAATGCCAATGAAATAAGAAAATAACTTCATATATTCACATGATTTTTGAGAAAAGAGGCAAAAGATCCAGACCATAAATATGATAAATATCTGGTATCAAATACTTCTCTACATCTCTAGTCCCTGTAGAATCTCACCTGTGAGAAGAGCCAATCCTTTTTGTTCATTCTGCCACCTCAGCTTCTCAGCCAACATTTTAATATGTCAGTATAAACTCTTTTATTAATGTGCACAGCTCTATATCTGAACTAGGCAGTATTCAGCTTAATAAAGTTGAGAAAAAAATCTATGCAGTGAATATCAAATAAAGATTGATAGACAAACTTCTGGCTGCATGAACATCAGCGAGTCACATGGGGACACAGCAATATTAGAGAATGAAACTGCTCGCAAGGCCTTTAAACTTTGACAATAGACTGACCATTGTGTGATCTTTATTAAAGGGAAAAAAAATCACTGTTTGGCCTTATTATTATGGATGTGAGGCCAATATCTAAAGATCAGCCATGAGATCTGAACAGTGTGTCCAAATAAATTAAGAATTGCAAAGTTGAAGGAATCCCCCTACCTGCACATCTCTTCAGGTAACTGCTGAAATTCTTCTCAAGTAAACAAGACTATTGTGCAGCTGGGGGCTCTGTGAGTGCCTATTTCTCCCCTTAAGTCATATATGGAATAGTCAACAATATTGAAAAGCTTCATGTGTATATCAAAGACAGAAGATTATAATAACCAGGTTTTGGTACAATAAGGGCACAGAATTTTCAGCTTTATGGAACATGGATCTGTTCTGTATTTCATTGTAATGACTAACTTATGGCAGAGGTGAGGAAACTGTTGCCCTCCCGATGTCATTGCCCTGTAATTACAGTCATTGCTAGCCACTGAAGATACTGTACTGGATGGGGCTGAATGGATGTGAAGTACAACATAATCTTGAAGACCACAGATTCCACAACTCCCGGGTTATAGCATACCACTAGAAATCAGGGCAAGAGATCTAACATGAATGAAGAAATGGAATTAAATTATTGAAACCTCTTTCCACTACACTGGACTAGAAGTTGGCTCTAGACTACCCTTGCGTGCAGATGTAAAATCTGAACACAGAAAAATCGTAAGCTGTTTGAAAGGCAGTATGGAGTAGTGTACCACAAGAAAACAACTACATAAATAAACTCACGTGGATAATCTTTTGGATGTGTCTTCTCTGACCAGTTTCCATAGAAGGTGAGCCTGTATTTAGCAGTTCCACAGGCACAGCAGTCTAAGATTGGCTTGTCAGTCACACCTTCCAAGGCTGAATCTAAAAGAAACAACATGAAAGCCATTATTTTGTGAAACTGATTTTAAAGATGGACCATGATATGTACAATGAAAATAGCAATGAAAATGTGGGTTTTTATTTTTTGTACTTTTCAAATTATTGCAGGTTTTCCTTGTCGGCCATCGTCTCCAAACTGTCCGGTTTCTGCAAAGCGCGGCAAGCGCACACAGAAGGGCCCCGAAATTGCCGCTGTGGAGTTTCAGACCCAGGAGGCCTCAGGGCATGCCCAAACATGCCCTTGGACCCACCCCCTTTTCTACCAGCCCCTCCAACAGCTCCCATTGGTCTACAGGGCCACGGGCTGGCCCTGCCCTTCGGGGGCCAATCCTCAGGCCTCCCTCAGGTCACGGGGGACCCCGGACTCTAGGAAACCCTCCTATAGGTCCATGGTGACCTCCACAACCTCTGACGTCACCCCAAAACCTGCCCCTTCTGGCAGAAGGGGCCTGGGTCGATCCTTGACTGGATGTCCCGCCTTACAGGGCTGTTGGAGCTGTCAAAATGTTGATTTGATGAATGCTATGCCCTATTAGTACTAACACTTTGGGAGTGTTCTAGAGGCAACTAATGTTGCAAATGAGTGGTTACACCAGCAGTCAGAAGAATTTTATTTGCAGGGACTTAAGAAGCTGCAGGACATATGTCGCAAGTGCATTGACTTCCTGGGGGAATATGTAGAATAGTGTGGCAGTTACAGCTTCCTATCTCATTTTTTTTCTGGGAAAGGCTCAATACTTATCAGCACCCCCTCGTACTAATGCGAGAAGGATCTTGGAATTATTGTAGACCACAAGCTGAATATGAGCCAACAATATAATGTAGCTGCAAAAAAAGGCAAATGCTATTTCAGGCTGCATTAACAGAACTATAGTCTCCAAACCTTGTGAAGTACTACTTCCCCTCTATTCTTCACTGGGAAGGCTCCATTTTGAGTACTGTGTTCAGTTCTGGACACTGCACTTTAAGAAGCATGCTGGCAAACTGAAACAAGCTCAAAGGAGGGCAACAAGAATGAGCAGGGGACTGGAAACCAAGTGCTATGAGGGAAGACTGAAAGAACTTAGCACGTTTAGTCTTGAGAAAAGAAGACTGAAGGGAGATATGATAGTACTTTTCAAATACTTCAAAGGTAATCATACAGAAGCAGGCAGGATATATTCTCAATCATCCTAGAGTGCAGGATACATAATAATGGGCTCAAATTACAGAAAGCCAGATTTTGGTTGAATATCAGGAAAAACATTCTAACTGTTAGAGAAGTATAACAATGGAAACAATTACCTTGGGAGGTGGTGAGTGCTCCAAAATTAGAGGCATTCAAGAGAAAATTAGTCTACCATCTGTCAGATATAATTTGATTTAGGTTCCTGCATTGAGCAGGGAGCTGGACTCGATGACCTTCTAAGCTCCTCCCAACTCTATTTTTATATGTTTCTATGATTCTGTGGACCATGTCGAAATGCCTCTAACATTGTTGAATAAAAAAGAGCACTCAAATGGGATGTGTTGGTGGATTCAACAAGAAACATTGGATCAAATTCCCAAGGTTATTCTTCTGTATTATTCTGCAAGCATTTAATCTATTAATCAGTGAGGTTAACCCACAGAAACATTTCAATTAAAAGGATGACCTGTTTAACCAGGCAAATGATTGTTGCTGCTGTTGTTCAAAAATAAATTGATTTTTTTAAAAAAAAACTCAAGTACAAACAAAAACCTTAAAGGATACATTCTCCTTTCTTTCATTTAGAAGAGAAGACTCCTCCCCAAAGATGTGCCCTGATGCAAACTCCATGGAAAATCCATCTAAGGCTCTTTTTTCCCCTTCAAGATTCTATAATTCAGGCCATTTTCTGGTCCACCTGAAGAAGACCCTAGTTACTGAAGTTCTATTGACATTTCTAAAATAGTCCCATCTCTGTAGGACTAGTAAGTGAATGGCATAAAACTTGAATAATCTTCTCAACATCCCTCTAGAAATGCTTAATAATGCAAGCAATTTGATAATATTTTACACACACACACACACACACACACACACACACACACACACACACACACACACGCACGCACGCACGCACACGCAATGTTGTTTCCACTTATTGACTGAACTCCTGAATATTATCAGTAGTGGCAAATCAGTGCCAATTAAAGGCAAATAACTGCTTGGCTATGTACATTAAAATGCTACATTCAGGAAGTACCACTACTGTTGGTAAATATTTTAGATGCTTTTACAGCCATTAAGGTCTCCAACTAATGTTTTCACGCAGCACATCTCCATCCAATTTTCTTGGATTCACCCCTCTTATGTCATGTGGTTTAGCACAATCTCACATGCTTCAGTAAAGCATTTTCAGGGTACAGGAAGAGTCACCAGGGGGTGGAGAATGAAGGGGATCCCCTACCACTCAACAGTTGCATGTGCCTAAACTGAGATCTGTTATTAATGAGAGTATGTGGTACTCAGGCCTATTTAATTGTTCAGAACATTACTTAGGTTCCTGAGGAATAACACTTGAGGCCTGTGACTTAATTACTTAGGGATACTTCCTGCCCTTTCTAATTGGTACTGCTGGCTGTCAGTTTCCCACAGTGAAACTGTTGTGAACTTCACAGTGTAGCACCTTATCTATCATTCTCCCTTAGATGTGCACATTTTGGAGTGGTGCTAAATTTTACTGGAAATTATTTCAAACAGCCAATTCCTCGTTTGCTTGTTTTTATTTTATACTTCGAATTTTGGTGGCAGCTTTCCACTAAAAATGGCACCCAAGGCAACAACAAAAGACAGTTTTAAACAGTAGAGCCATTAAAATAATTATGCTAAATGATTATCTTAGTACATGTTATGCATAGAAATAGAGGCAGTACAGTCCCTTGGGAAGACAACACAAATTCTGGCAGTCAGTCTTTGAACCACTTAGCTTAGCAGCCTGAGGTTGCATCAAGAAAGACAAGGAAAATACAATATAAACAAATGCCTAATGTATATATTAATATTTAACAGCACTGCTATAGAAAGGAGCTACAGTGACATGTTCAGCCTTCATGAACTAGGATTTAAAAAAAGGGCAGTGTGAAATGGGGCATATTTTTGACACCAATAAGAATATTAGTGTATAACACAATATAACAGCCGTCCATGGCTTAAAGGAGCTTTTGTGTTTGCAAAATGAAGTTTTCCCCTCCTGACACCAAGAACTGGAAAACATGGTGTTGTATTTAATGTAAAACATAATAAACGAAACTAAACATACACTTCATGTACATATTGTGGGGCTATTTCATGACTCCAGAGAATTTCAAATCCCCACCCCGCCCCGAAACATGTTGTTTTCTCCAACAGGGGGCCAACCTACTGTCAACCAGAGGATGTCACTTCACTTCCATTAAAATTCAGTTTATTGAAAATGGCATGGGACTTTCATTTTATCATTAAATTGGCAGGGACAAGAGAGTATGCAAAAGGCAAAAAGCAGTAATTTGTTCAGAAAATATTTGTGCCATCCATTTATGTAAGGAGGAAAATTATACAGCACAAGTCACTGAATCTTTTTTTAACAACACACAGGTGACAAAAAGCCATGGAGTGTCTAATAGGAGATTTAGTTTTGTGTGGATTTTGCCACAGAATGCAGACTGTTTTCCTATCCCAGAAGCAACCAAAATGCGCTTTAGATTCTCGGCAAGTCCTTTTTCTTTTAAAGCTCCTTTCGATTTCTCTGTACTCAAGAACACGAAACAGATGTCTCCATTTCATTTACGTAACTCGCTCCAGTGACTTCATTGAGCACATTCTCCATTCATAGCACAAAGAGCGATTTCAAATTGAATGCAATCTGCATTTCTAAATGAACTCAGAAAGTGAAAGGCCTGGCTAGTGTCAAATATGTCATATTTATTAAATTCAATTAAGCACCTTACAGCGCACACTTCAGTGTATTAAAAGAGAAAGAAAATGAGCCGATCAAAGTCAAGGCCAGATTATGCTAATCCAGGATCTTTGCACCTAAGGGAAAAGAGGAAGGCCAGGTCCTCTTGGCTTAATGTGGCAGGATTTCCGGATGGCCAGAATGAAAGGGGCAAGGTAAAATGAGCTTTAGACCCTTTATCTTTGCATTGCTGCATGAAATAATTGCTGCTTCTTTCCAGGAGGTCTGAGAAGCAGTCTCTGGAAGACGTATGCCTAAAATTATACTATTGGAATGTGATTTTGAAAGAAGTCATGCTTGAGAAGGATGTGTGCCTTATAGCACTTCTGGGCAAAGTACCTTGCTAGCTGCAGACTTCATGGAAGAGAGTGAAAAAATTCCTTATCACACTTTTTTGAAATGGATTTTCATACAATAGAACAAGGAAAGAATGTTTCTTACTCATATAGCCTCTTACACAGTTCTCTGAAACTTTTTAAATTGTTGATCTACAGTACCACCCAACATAATGAAGTCAGAAGTTAAACCTGGAAAGCAAATTAGCACAGAAAGTAGATCCAGGAGGTGTTGGCAGGCCTTACCATGTGTTTAGTGAATGTATGCAACAGAACTTCGGGAAGGCAGTGTTAAACCTACCATTAGGCATAGCAAGGCAAAAACCCACAGCGCTAGATTTTTGGTGGGAGCAGCAACCCACAGTTGCTGCCCATTATTATAAGTAGGGAAAGGATTTCTATGGTACATTTTCTCTGCAACCTGCATTTGAACTCATAAGCAAATTCAAACAGTTCAAATTTTCTCACCAGATTACTCATAAACATGTTCAACCCCACCCATAAACTCAAACAAAGGTTGCAGAAAAAATATGACATGTCACAGAAATCCTGGATTTACTTGCCATTCTGTTCCAAATTATGTGGAAGGCTCATTCAGATGTTCCAAGGTTCCAATACTGAACATGCTTACTTAGTAATATGATTAGGATTTCGGCCTTGGAAACAATACAGTGAACATTTCCTATCATTTAGATATAAAGAGCAAGGCAGGACAGGCCTGCATATATTAGGTGTACTTATTGACTGAATGTAAATATGGACGTAGTCCAGATTTAGTCCTGGAAGAAAACTCTTTTCTAAAATATCAACAAAGGAAGAAGATAATGTAGAACAAGGGTGGACAATTGTGGGCCTGTAATTGTCATAGACAGCATAATTGTTCCTGTAACAATTCCTAGCCAGCACACCATGAGGTAAGGGGTGAAGAAAGGACATGGGAACGATGGTCCAAAAATATCTAGAGGATAACTGTTGTCCACCACTTGCCTAGAACAATATATCAGGGAAGGTGAGGATCCAGGCAAATAATTTAACAGTCTCCTTGTCTGCAAGAGATTGGAATCAATTAGGTATTTTAATATGCTTTGCACCCCAGTTCCCATAGAGAACTATGTTTTGATGCCATCTTGGCTGGCATTTGCAAGGGGGAATTAAGTGAATAAAGTCAGGAAAAGGAGAGTGACAAAGCAATTGTAATTTTCTGTCTCCTATTCCACTTGGTTCCACTCCCACCATTGCATCACATACAGTGTATACAAAACTGTGGCCCAGATATTTCTGCTCTGTGTTTGAAGAAATGGATTGTAGGTCACCCACAAACCTTGCGATAAAAGTGTTAGTCTTAAAGGTGCCACAGCACTTTTTTTGTTTGATTCTATGTGGAAAGCAAATATTGAGCATCATACCTTGTTCACATAGCCTTTTGGTGAGAGAGCCCTCATCTTGAAAATATATAATCCGCTTCTGAACAATACTTGCCCTGTTGAAGAGAGAGAAACACAGTGTTCATAAAATGTATTCAAGAATTAATAAAGATTAATTTTGAAACAGACAAAAACTAACCTTTTCCATCAATGGTTCAGTTGCAAATTGTCACAATCTAATCCTCATTACATTTATTTGCAGATAAAATTCACATGCAAAGTATTCCTATCACTTGCCCTTTGGCTTCCCGTTTCTTTGGGAATATCAGAGGTGTCCTATGCCACTGGTGGGTTTTAAGGCACAGGACACACGTGTGCAAGCAACTGAGGCACTGTCCAACTCACCAGTGCCTGCCTGCCTCTGGCCAGATAACATCTTGGGGGTTGGCAAGTTTTGGCATGCTTGGAGGCCTCTAGTTCATTTCATAAGAGTAAGAAACATCAGAAGGCATTAAATACAGAAGGGCTATCATATATGTGAGGTGAGCATTGAACTGAAGGATAGCTCAATAATGTAGGTATCTGGCTGCAGAGCTATTGATTAGGAGTTCAATTCCCCAGTGTGCCTCCTTGATAGGGTTTGAACCTGATGATATATAGAGTCCCTTCCAGTTTTGAAGTTCTGAGAGTACTATTATTAGCAGCACTTGGAACATAGATATTAAACCACTTGTACAACAGGAACAAAAGCTTATAGTTCTTAAATCAAAGTGTCAGTTTCACAGCTTCTCCCTTCCCATTTGAGGCTCAAATTAGGTAGTTACAGGGAAGAAACATGCAATCCCTCTGAACAAATTAGCTTGGCCTTCAAATTAAGTTTGATAAATAAGTCACTGAGTTTGACTGTGGGTTTTTATTTGATCTGTAAGAAACTATCCCAAACTCTATTTACCTATATTGACAAAGCAGTGCCAATAGGTAATTGTACACCCCATACTATGGACTTGAGGGAGGCTCCAGAAGGCCACAAGTGGAATGCACAAGTAACATCCCCTCTCCCTGGCTCAGAGCTATTCTGTGTTTTGCATCTTCATCTACATTGTTCTTATCTTAGAGCAAAACAAGTTGTTTGCCAATCCCAAGAAGGAGGGAAGGAAGGAGGATAGTTTTGGTACTATTTGCAGGTCTACGTTTTAAAAATACTCACACAACAGGTGTGAGTGACAAAGGAATCAAATGAAGTCTACTTGTCTGTCCTGATAAGCATCTAGGACCCAGAGAGTGTGCATCAATTGCGTTAAATTAACTTACTTAAATCTACAGGAAAATCTGTCCATGATAACAGTAAACTTCCTCTATAGCTTTCCTTCCTCAATGGGGAGAGTGTCCAAATCTCTCCTGATTGGTTGTTTTTCTCAAACATCCACTCCTCACTGCACACATAGTCGCGCAGCAGGGGTGACGAGACCAGTCTCCCTCGGGTGGCTTCTCGTTCAGCTGTAGAGGGCCCGGATGGATTACCTTCTTCCAAGGACCCCGGCCTCCAAGGTACACCAGCACAGTCCATTCTTCTGGTCTTAATCCTTCTATCGGTATTTTAACTTTGCTCTCTTTCCTATCTGGTTCTAGATTCTTGCACCTTCCATTTCCGATTTCCTTCTTCTGTGGGATTTTAAACACTTTTGGTCCTCCTTCCTCCTCCTGCCATTCGTCTTCCTAAACCACCACCTTTCTTGTTTCCCCTGACTTCTCCCTCTCTTCCATCATCAAGAACACATCTACCCCCCCTTTTTTGTCTTCTCTAACTCCTCCCCATTTTCCCCCACCTTCAGCTCTTTCACCTTCTCCATAATCTTCTCTACTCCTCCATCCTCTCTATCTCTATCCTCCTCTATAGATGTGTGAGGGGATGGCTCACTCTCTCTCTCCCTTCCGGTCCTTTATTCTCCAGCTCACAGTTTGCCTTTCAGTGTGCTTGGGACTGAGGTAAGCACGGTGTGGTTTGTGGGCAGCCTGCAGTTCCCAAGCCAGGTTTTCAACCCTGCCCCATCTTCACTTTTTTTAAATTGTAAAAAAAATTGACACTATGCCTGCCCAGCCAAATTCCCAGGTTCATGATGGCAATTTACTGTTTATTTTATTTTATCAAATATTAGCTCCTTCCACACTAAATAGAGACTGTTATTTCCTATTACATGTCTCAGTGGTTAGGAACTATTAGCATCCAGTTAAAATAAAGTGAATCAAGTTGCAGCCGCAAGGGAGGGAGGGAGAGAGACTGGAAGTAATTGATGCTGCTGTTGCTTCTCCTAGTACTCGGAGTGGAATATTAATAATATTAAATTAAACAGTTAATAGATTGCACCAATACAGTTATTAAATTACATTAAAGTTAATTCACCACTGCTATCCATTAAAACAGCTAGTATCCAATTAAAAATAAAATAAATTTTAAAAATTCAAACTATGAAGCTTAATTAGCCAATTTGGCCACACCACCATGGGAGTGCACCTCCTGAACTGCTGGCCAATCTGAAGATCACGCATCCTGATCTAGCCACAGTTGTGACTGATATCATTTTTTTCACCTCAGAGGCTTAACTGCAGAGTTACCCACTTTTCTTTGCTACATGTGTACACACTTTGTGTAGCTATACTGAATGTCATTACTATTAAAAGGATAAAATAATCCCCCTCAACTGGGAATACATCACATGTCACCTTACCCAGCAGTAAGCCTAACTGAACTCAAGGTTGCTTCTGAATAGCCATGCAGGATCACTATTCATTTTTCAAAGGGAGCAACTTTCTGTCAGTTTTTAGAAGCTGCTGCATACGGACAGTAACCAGTTCTATTTTTGAGAATCAGCAGCAATTTTGTATGCTTGTATGCTTGAAGCAGGAACCTCACTTCTGATATACCTGTTGAATTATCTACAACTTCTGCAGCAGCTTTTAAAAAGCTTAAAGGGAACCTGGGGAATGTGAGGGAGGAAATATGGTAAAGAAAACTGGTCACAGAGGTACCAAAAATATATAATCTCCTCTTAATTTACAATTATCCTGTGTGTGTGTGTGTGTGTGTGTGTGTGTTGTGCCATCAAGTCATATCCAACTCACAGCAACTCTAACAGGGTTTTCAAGATAAAGCAAATTGTGCTGCTTATATACTGCCCCATAGTGCTTCAAGCACTCTCTGGGCGGTTTACAAGTTAATTTTGCAGGCTACACATTCCCTCCACCCCCCAGCAAGCTGGGTACTCATTTTACCAACCTCGGAAAGATAGAAGGCTGAGTCAACCTTGAGCCGGCTACCTGGGATTGAACCCCAGGTCGTGAGCACAGTTTTTGGCTGCAGTTCAGCAGTTTAACCACTGTGCCACGAGGCTCCTGTAAGATAAGTAAGATATTTAAGGAATGGCATCTCCAGTGCTACCACACCACGGTGAGTTTCCATGTCTGAATGGGGGTTCAAACTGATGTTTCTGGAGTCTGTCACTCTGTTGACTACACCACATTGGTTATCATATCACACACACACACACACACACACACACACACACACACACGTGCGTGCATGTCTGTCCATCTATATTCAAGTCCGTTCCGTTCAGCAATCCAAATTACATAACCTGGTAAAGGACATCTGATGAACGTCCTTTTGCATTAGCTGCTTCTCTTTTGTGCGGCAAATAGCCTTTAACAGTTCCCTCAACTGTCTCAGAAAAAACAGACACTCATTTTGTAAAGTTCACTGAGGCTGAAGAATTCAGTAGGCACAAAAATGGAACAGAAAAGGTGAGTGCAAGCAAAGCAAGACTTCGAGCACAGTTTCCATCGTCCTTTGGTCTTCACATTTTTCATTAGCGTCAGTGCACTTTGTATTCCCTTGTAAATACCAAATGCACTGTTCTGCTCCAACAGCGGCCATAACCACAGGAAGATATCTCAAAATGTATCCCCAGAGCAAATCAGATAATAGGTGGCGCCTATTCTCTGGAACAGGTTACCAGTGGAGATATGGCAAGTTCTTTCCCTCCTTCTGTTCAGGAAAGAGGAGAAGAAGAAGAAGAAGAAGA